AAAAAAAAAAAAAAAAAAAAAGAAAAAGAAAAAAAAAACACACGCACACACACACACACACACACAATGATCCCTTTTAGAGCCTTGTTTCTTTGTTCCTTGCTGTTTGTGGTCGTATATTCCGATGCTCCTCCGGATGGCGATAAGACACCTGATGTTGAAGTTGATAAGATAAACGATAAAGGAATCGATCTTGAAAAGGCTGATGAATATTGGCAAAAACGAGCTGCTGAAGCTCAAAAGGCTGCTCAAAAGGCCTTCAATCCTGACCCTGATTCCGTTGCTGATAACTTCAACGCAGCCGTTGGCCAGTGAGTTTCAGATTTTCATCCTATTTTTTATATAAATTATGGTCACTAATTTCGGTTTTCATCGTGTTTTGATACGATGTTAAATTAAATTATGCTAACCAATTTTGATACTGCTCACCTATTTTGACGCCACTCACGAATTTTGATTTGACACACCGGTCACCAATTTTGATTTCCATCCCGTTTTTGGTATAGCTCACCTAATTTTGATTTCCATCCTTTTTGGTACCATGTTAAATTAAATTACGGTCACCCATTTCGATTCCCATCATGTTTTGAACCCGTGATGTCCATCCTCACCCATTTCGATTCCCATCCTGTTTTGAACCCGCTCACCAATTTTAATTTCCATTACCATGTTAAATTGAACTACCAATTTCGATTTCCATCCTATATTTTGATACCATGTTAAATTAAAGGGAGATAGTGAACAGCAACAATTCAAGGAGGAGCTTGAGGAGATACAGAGGTCCATGCTTGGCGACCAACCCCATAGACAGATGCTGGAGGTGCGACCCAAATTGGGACAAGAATCGAAAAAAGCTAGCCGAATGTCCATTAGGGTTCGGCCACCAAACCATCGGCGGCAAGAGAGGTCCCATTTACGTGGTGACAGACGCCTCCGATGAAAACCTAGTCGACCCCAAGCCTGGAACCCTACGCCACGCGGTTGTCCAAAACGGCCCAAGATGGATCATATTCGGGCGCAGCATGATCATCAGGCTGTCCCAAGAGCTCATAATCTCAAGCAACAAGACCATCGACGGCCGCGGCTTCAATGTCCACATAGCCTTCGGCGCAGGGCTCACTCTTCAATTCGTGCATAATATCATCATCCATGGCCTTCATATCCATGACATTATTTCCAAATCTGGTGGAATGATTAGAGATGCATTTGATCATTATGGGTTCCGAACACAAAGCGATGGCGATGGTATTTCAATCTTTGGAGGCTCTCACATTTGGATCGATCATGTTTCAATGTACAATTGCCAAGACGGGTTAATTGATGCCATTATGGGTTCCACTGCCATTACAATTTCCAATAGTCATTTTACTCACCATAACGAGGTATCAATTTGATTGCATTTTCAACACAAACCCATTTCAAATCTAATTGTTTTATACGTATAGGTTATGTTATTTGGAGCCAGTGATAGCTATAAGGAAGATTCTATAATGCAAATAACCCTAGCATTCAACCATTTTGGGAGGGGATTGGTGCAAAGAATGCCAAGGTGTAGATTTGGGTTCTTCCATGTGGTTAATAATGACTATACTCATTGGCTTATGTATGCCATTGGGGGCAGCCAGCACCCCACCATTGTTAGCCAAGGGAACCGTTTCATAGCCCCTCCGAACCCAAGCGCGAAACAGATAACGAAGAGAGAGTATGCCGATGAGTCCGAATGGAAGAATTGGTCATGGCGGTCGGAGGGAGATTTGATGATCAACGGGGCGTACTTTGTTCCGGCGGGGGATCAAACCAAGGGGAAGAAGAGCGATTTCTCAAGATATGATATGATTAAATTCAAGCCAGGAGCCTACGTGAAAAGGCTTACACGCTTCGCTGGTACACTTGAGTGTCAAGTAGGCAAGCCATGCTAAGCTGATTTACACCATTTTTGGTCACTCCTTGATCTCTTGGTGGCTTTTAGTTTTTTTTTTTATTTTTTATTTTTTTATGAAGTGTGTTTGAATAACTCAGCCGCTAGTTTTGTAGGAAGAAGGAAGACAAAATGAATTGTCAAATCCTTTCTTATGTTTTGTTCTTTTCTATCTTCTTCTACCAAATGTAATAAATGAAAATGTGTTGGTTGTGGTTTGTTAAAATCTCATTTGGTGTTCAATTTTATATTATTGTAATGTATAATTTGTACTTGGTTGTAATGTATAATTTGCATTTATAGTTACTCTAAACACCTTCACGATCTCACCTTCACTACTCCAAATGCCTTCATGACCTCACCACATGAGGATAAACGAAAATAGGAAGGACGAGGGAACACAAGACCCTTTGTGATTTCGTTGCCTACTAAACCTTGGCAACGATATGGAACACATGTGGCAACGATACGATAAGGAGTGGAAGGGAGGGGAGTGTAACGCTCAGAGTACCTATTACTCACGGATAGTAACTACCTATTACTCACGGATAGTAACTACGCAATATGGTCTGGAGCGTAAGGACAGACTCTTGCCGCCATCTTCCAAGCAGTCTAGAGGACGTCCTTCTCATACTGGCAAAGGACTCAGCAAAGTTAGCATAGGAGACGTCGCAAACAATGCAGGTGGGTGTGGAACGTGTCAAGAAAGTAAAGGTGTAGACCTTGAAGAGCGAGTTCGAGGCTATCTGCATGAAGGACGGTGAGTTAATGAATGACTTGACCATGAAGTTGATGAGTGGTATCCGTTCATTAGACGACTTGGTGGAGGAGATCTCCAACATCAAGAAGTTGTTCCCCCCAAGATTCATGCAGACTATTACCTCTATCGAATAGTTCGGCGACCTCAAGAACATGTCGCCTGAGAAGGTCGTTGGTCGTTTTGTCTATGAGGAGAGATTTCGTGGCTACGAAGACAAAGAGGAGAAGAAATACCTCTTACTCACACATGAGGAGTGGCTCGCATGGATGAAAAAGAAAGATGCAAATGGCTTTTCTTTTCCAGGTACGAGCGGACGTGAAAACAATAACAAAGAAAACATAGGTCGTGAACGTGGCCGCAGACATGATGATAGAGGAGGTCGTGACAATATTTCACAAACCATGAAAATGGCAACCCTCGTATGGACAAGAGTTGATCAAGTGTTACTCTTGTGGAAAATATGGGCATTATGCGGCAGAGTGCTGCAACAAGAAGCGAGATGAGGAGGCCAACCTCATACACACGCAAGATCAAGAGCCTCCACTGATGTTGGCTGAGAAGATGCCCAACCTGTTGATGCTCAACGAAGCAAAGGACATGACGAACCTTCTCACAAAAGGAGAAGACCAAGTGGAGACCAACATGTGGTACCTCGACAACGGAGTAAGCAACCACATGACCAGAGTGTTGAGGATTATTGGGAGTGAGTCCCACATTGGTTAATTTAGTAGAAGAACATGGGTTTATAAGCGAGGAATACTATCTCCATTGGTATGAGGCCTTTTGGAGAAGCCTAAAGCAAAGCCATGAGAGCTTATGTTCAAAGTGGACAATATCATACCATTATGGAGAGTCGTGCTCGTCTAACATGGTATCAGAGTCATGCCCTAAAACTTAACCATGTCAATAGAATACTCAAATATCGAACAAAGAATTGTGAGCCTCGAAGGTGTTGTCAAAAGTGACTAAAGTGTCGAACAAAAGGTGTACTTTGTTCGAGGGCTCTAGAGAAAGGAGTTGAGCCTCGATTAAGGGGAGGCTATTCGAGAGCTCCATAAGAGGAGGATTGTTGAGGATTATTGGGAGTGAGTCCCACATTGGTTAATTTAGTGGAAGATCATGGGTTAATTTATTGAGAATGAGTGATTGAATGGTTGATATTAGTGGAAGATCATGGGTTAATTTATGAGAATGAGTGATTGAATGGTTGATAAGAGAAACAAAGTTAAAAAGTCGGTGTTAGTGAAAGAATGAGTGATTGAATGGTTGATCGGAAGATTGTATTATTAAGAGAAAGAAAGTCAGCGGTTGATAAGAGAAACAAAGTTAAAAAGTCGGTGTTAGTGAAAGAATGAGTGATTGAATGGTTGATCGGAAGATTGTATTATTAAGAGAAAGATCTGGTATCTGGTAACAAACCCTTGATCAACCCCTCTTTTGAACTTCTCGAACAAAGAATAACTTTATGTTGAAACACATAGTTTTTCCATGAAAAACTGGATTATTGGAGATTGCAATAGAAGCTTGGTTATCAACTAGTATCTTAGTGCTTTGGTTTTGCTCCAAGTTTAGATCCATGAGAATTTTTCTTAACCAGAGAGCTTGGTTAACTACAGCTGTTACAGCTATAAATTCTGCCTCAGCAGTGGATTGAGCTACAGTTTCTTACTTTCTTGAACACTAAGAGAACGTGCCTGATCTGAGGCAAAAACAGTAGCCAAATGTACTCTTCATGTCATTGATTGAGCCACTCCAATCACTGTCAGAGAAACCAATTAGCTTCATTTTCTTGTGCTAACTTCACTCCATAATTCCAGGTCCACTTGATGTATCTGATAACTCTCTTTGCAGCTTTCATGTGAGTTTCATTGGGACAATGCATGAATCTGGAGAGAATACTTACAACATTTAAGATATTAGGTCTAGTTACTGTTAAGTACATCAGACAACCTACCAAACTCTGGAACTCAGCTTCAATAACTTTGACAGGACCATCATCTTTGACCAACTTCTATTTTTTATTCATAGGAGTATTCATTGCTTTGCTTGATCTCAATACCAAGGAAATATGACATGAGACCAAAGGTCTATCATTTTGAAGACCTTTTTCATTTCCAGTTTGAACTAGTTAATTTGCTCAAGATTGCTTCCTGTAATTAATAAGTCATCTACATAAAGAGAAATGACTAGAGTATTTGTACCTTCATGCTTGACATACAGTGTGAGTTCGGATTGACTTTCTGAAAGTCAAGACCAACCAAATGATCATCAATTTTACTGTACCATGCTCGCGGAGCCTGTTTCAGACCGTATAGAGCCCTTCTCAGCAAGTAGACTTTATCTTCATTGTCTTTGCTCACAAAAATTTCTTCTTGCAAGACTCCATTTAAGAATGTAGAGTTAACATCTAATTGGAACACTTTCCAACTCTTTTGAGCAGCAAGAGCAAGCAACAGTCTTACTGTATCAAGCATGGCCACAGATGCAAATGTTTCTGAATAGTCAACTCCAAAAAATTGCACATATCCCTTCACAACAAGTCTTGTTTTGTATTTGTTAACTGAACCATCAGAATTTAGCTTTGTTCTGAACACCCATCTTACTCCAATTATCTTTCTGTTTAGAGGTCGGTCAATCAACTCCCAGGTTTTGTTTTTCTCGATCATTGAAAGCTCCTCCTTCATTGCAGCCATCCAATGTTGACTATTTTTTGCATCATGGAACCCTAAAGGCTCACAAACAGCTACATTACACCTTTGATAAATATCAGACAGCAACCTTGTACCTCTAACAGGTGCATCATCAACCAAAGCATCTTGTTGTTCTTCAGACTCTTCGATATGCTACCAAAAATTAAATTGTTTGGTGCATTAGAAATCTAATTCACCTTCGTCAGTTCTTCCCAATTCCATTGCTCATTTTCAGCAAAATGAACATCTCAGCTCACAATAACACGATTAATGTGTGGTTGAAAAATTATGTAAGCTTTGAATATATTGTTATTCCCAACAAAGATGCCAGCTTCTGTCTATTTGTCAAGCTTATCAGCTTGACCTATGGAAGGTAAGTGAAACAAAGACACCCAAATACTCTAAGGAACTTTAAAGAATGTTTGTAATCATACCAAGCTTCAAATGATGTCAGGTCCTTCACGGCTTTTGTTGAAATTCGATTTTGCAAGTACACAACAGTGTTTGCTGCTTCTTCCAAAAACGTTTTGGAAGATTCTTCTCATGAAGCATGCATCTCGTCATCTCCATTATGAATCTGTTCCTCTTTTCACTGATGCCATTATGTTGAGGAGTGTATGGTGCTGTCAATTGATATTCAATTCCAGCCTCTTCATAAAACCTGTTAAAAGTTTTCGAAGTGTACTCATTGCCATTATCTGATCTTATAATCTGAATCAAGCATGCACTTTCATTCTCAACTCTGGCTTTGAATTTCCAAAATACATTCGCAACTTCTGACTTTTGCTTCAGCAAGAAGATCCAACACATTCTTGGATCATCAATAAAAACAATGTAATAAAGATTACCATTTAATGATGGTGTTCGCTGAGGACCACAAGGATCAGTATAAACTAGCTGCAACTTTTTCGAGGCTCTCCATGTCTGTTTAGGAAATGGTTGTCTATGTTGCTTCCCGAAATTACAAGCACAACAAAGAGGCATGTCATCATCAATGTCAGCGAGTCCTTCTACCAGCTTCTTTTACCGTATCTGAAGCAAGCCTTGATGATGAAAGTGCCAAAGTCTTTTGTGCCAAATCTCAGTGGTACTAGCTTTGGATATAAAGACCATCTGCTCTTTCTCCATCGAATTTAGAGCAAAGTTTTTTGCTTCAATTTTGACATTGAACAACTCTTTGCCACTAACATCTCTAATCAAGCACGACTTATCCTCAAACAACACTTTATAGCCTTTATCAAGTAACTGACCAACACTTAAGAGATTTGATCAATTTTAGGTATAAATAAGACATCTGGAATAAATTTTGTACCTTCATAGCTTGTTATAGCTACTGTGCCTTATTGTTTCATAGCTTGTTATAACAATCTCCTCCTAAATCCCTATGGTATATATCTACCTTATTGTTTGAACTCCGATCTTCGAACGAAATTCTAAAAATTTCACCTACGCCAGAGATTTGGTGAAGATGTCTCCAAGTTGTTCCTCTGTTCGGATGAAATCAATCTTGATGAGCGCTCGATCTGCACATTCCCGGATGTAGTGAAATCTAATTTCTATATGATTGCTCCGGTCGTGCAAAACTGGATTTTTAATCAGGGAGATCGTAGCTTTGTTGTCCACGTATAGTATTGGTAGATTGCCTTCTCTTCCGATGAGTTCTTCCATCAGTCGCGCAAGCCAGACCCCCTTTGTTGTTGTCGTCGAAGTGGCGATGTATTCTGTTTCGCAAGAAGACAAAACAACTACCTTTTGTTCAGTTGATTGCCAGCAGAT